TGTTGGCACATATAGCTTAGAACGTGATTAAGATGTTCCTACTTGTGTTTTGGTAACATTTACAGAGCATTGCTTTTTCTTTCTTTTTTTCTTTTCTTTTTTTTTTTTTTTTAATTGTACATTACTGACTGTAGCAATAATCCCCTCCCAAAGAACAAATATTTAAAAAGCTGTGTAGTAAGAGAGCTGCTGTGTCTACCAGTTACGATGGAAACACTTTGCCTTTGAATCATCCATTTTTCCCAAATGTATTCAGTCCATGAGTAACTTATTAAAGACCCATGCAGACCCTATCTTAGCTAGTCTGAGTGAAAACGAAAAACAAAAAAACCCTCCCAAAAACCTTGCACTTAAACTGTTGCTGTAGAAGTGCTGCATTATGTTTTCATAATGTGAGTTTGGGGAAAAGATAAAAATAATTTGCTGTACTGCCAGGACCCATTATAAATGAAAAAGGTTATCTTTGACTCCTTTCAGAAGTTTCAGTGTTTCAGAGTCATATAGAGTGTCTTGGTCACCATGCAATGTTTGACAGTGACCATTTTCAAATAATTAATATTTCCATGGCATTCCCCATATAAAGCCACAGTAAAGTTAATTATGTGCAGTGGCAACACTGTAATGATCTTGAAGATAACTTGTAGAGAAGCAATATCTGTGAGGAATTAAAAGAGGACTTGGAGAAAATTGTATTGCATTGTAAGATAAAAGTGTGGTCAAAACTTTGCTACAAATGTAAAATCAAGGAGATTTCACCTGTTTCTAATTTTCCTTTTACTTATAAAGGCAATTGTTAGCTTTATTCAAGGTAGGGAGGGACCAGTTAGGGAGTTTACAGGCTGTGTGATTGAATCTCTGAATTAGAGAGGTGGATTTGCTGTTGCGCATGGGGACTGTGATCAGTGTGTATTATTAATTCAAGCATATTAATTCTCAGTTCTGGGAGTGAGAGCATGTGTACAGCAGTAGGGGTGCCAAGGAGCCTGCCAAGCCCCACAGTTGATAAATAGGGGAATCCAGAATGGACTCAGCCTTTTGAGAGAGGACATCACTCTTGAAGGATGCTGGCCAGTCCTACCTTTGTCACTGTATCACCTCTTGGAGACCTTAAAGTTCACCTGACCTAGCCAGCGTCTGAGGTGGTGATGCCTTGCCATCCTGAGACTGTCCCTGGGGAGAAGAGGGGGGGAAGACTATTGGTGGTTTTCTGCTCCTCCCATCAGCCTTTCCTGCCCCTTCAATGAAAAAACACCTTTGGGAAAGGATGACCCCGACCTGTGTGAGTGCTGGCAACCCGCGGAATCTGGCAACAAACCAAGGTGGCCTTGGAGGGGACATCCCACCGTCAGGCTGATGTCAGTTTCCTGTGCGCTTGGAAAGATCACAAAGACATTTTGGCGAAAGGACTGTGAACTGACTGTGCAGCTGGGGAGGTTTCCAGCTCTGTTTGTGCTTACACTGGCTTCCCTTGCTTTGCAGGCACAGTTTCACAACTCTAAAAAGTGACCCTATATATTTAGCTGACTTAACTGTTCCTCATCAACCTTATTTTTTCAAGCTTCTTCCCATCCCTTCCCCACCTCTTTATAGCTTGTCAGTGTGTTTATTGCAGTACCACGATAAGAAGTCTTGAGTGAGTAAAGCCTTAGTGCCTGCTCCCTTTTTTACCTTGCATCCTTTAATGTTTGTGATTCTGGATGGTGTCTGTGGTGGAGCAGCATCCCCTTTTACAGTGTAATATGGAACAGAGGCCCTCTGCTCCTATTGGAGTCAACATTATGCAGTTAATGGTATGAAAAAGGATTTGGGAGCAAATGCAGTGCTGTGAAGGTAGGGTTGATTTTTGATAGATTTGGATTGATTTTTTTTTTAAACTTATTTTTCACTTTTCGTTTTGAAATGTAACTGCTTGGTCTGTCTGCTGTACTGTCTTCCCAGTTGGCTTTCTCCAGTGTTAAAAGTGGTGCTGTGCTCTCCTATTCTGTACTTGTAGTTCCTGATCATTTTTGAACTGTCTGTTCATTGCTTTTTATCTGTGCATGTTAAATCTCCTTTTCCTTAACTCATTCATCTCTCTGGCTCTTTGAGACATTGTTACGCTTTCCTTCTGAAGCATCCCCTGTTCCTTTCCCTTGCATCATGCTCTTGTTTTATTAACCTCCCCAGACTGATCATTATCCATTTTATTAGTCAACGTATGACAATGGTGACGACAACAAAGATCTGTGTCAAATTTTGCCATATAGTTTCCTTTGCTGTGTCCCATAAAATGGGGCTGTAACTCACTCGTGATGGGTCCTTCTTGGAGTGTACAAAGGCAGTGGGCTACTCATAGTGGCACTAAGTTGTGGTTTCTTGCTTTGTGGTACTTGGTCTAGATCATGTTTCGTCAGTGCTGCCCAGCAGCCTTGCAGCTCAGGCACTCCTCTGCATCCTTGTTATTGTTGTAGTGTTTGCCTGGCTGTAGCATCCTGGAGCCCTTGGAGCAAGACCTGTTGATTGAGGAGTGCTGATTTGCTCATACTCAGCATCATCGGGTATTAATGAGTCCCCTTCCTTGGCTATAAGCAGGTGAACTGACGTGCTTTTAGGGAACCAGGGCTGATTCATGGAGGAGTTACTTATGAAGAAATAATTTCTGAACTCGTGCTGGAGTAGAGATCTGGGCAATCCATACAGGATAGGTGAGATGAGTCCTTGTTCTTCCACCCTCCCTTGTGTGGGTGTGCAACCCAGGTCAAAATCTCACTTTTTTTAAAGAGGGGATCGTCAACTAATGTTTTGCCTGCACCGAGCTGACGTCAGTGAAGCTCTGCCTGTTTCTGCCAGCAGAGTTTGTCCCATTTTATTCAGTGTGTGTTATATACCTCAGTACAGATGATTAACCAGTGGATTAACACAGGCAGTGATTCACAGTGGCAAACACCTCTGCAGTCCTCAGAGGCTGTCTAGATCTTTCCATAGCTGCACTTTGCCGAGGAGCCACCTCATTTTCAGCCCAGAGTCATCTGGAAATGGCCAGCTGCAGCTGGGACGTCCAGACCCAAGCTCCATGAACCAAAACCCTCACCACCCAACTTCTGACCACGCTTTATCTTTGCCATATGCTAAAGGAGGGCACAGATGATCTTTAGCATGCCATGTAATGGGGGTAACAAGTACCAAATGTTGCTGTAGCTCTTGTGTCAGAAATGTGCCATACGGTGTGAACGTGTTAAGCTGCAGTTGCTCCCATGGATCTTGGCGTCATTGAGTTCAGCTCTGCATCTCTATGCTGCTTTTACTTCTTCTTCCTTAAACTCGATCAGAAACTACTGCAAAAAACCCAGCCTTGCTATGCATTGCTTTCTTCATTTCTGTTGTAGGCAAATTACTGGTGCAGAATCTGTTCTTGCTGTTATGGTGTATTTATTGTGACCAAGTGTGCGCATTGATCTTGGAGCATACTGTTGTGATGAAGTGTCATCCTTGTTCCCCAGAGTAATGGTACTCCAAGCATACCTTGTTTGCATTCTTAGGACATCAACTTTTTATCAGTCAAAACCCAAACGGGGCATCTAGAATGAACATCAACAAAATACCTGTGGTCTTCCAGACTGCTTGTGGCTCAGCACAGCAGAGGGCAAGCTTAAGCTCAGTTGCCGATTTCAGTACTAAGTCCTGCAGAGGCTTTGATCAAAATACTTTGTATTTTCCATCTCACTTTCCTTCCTGTGTTGAAAGAGGAAGAGTAGTAGCAAATACTACATACCACTGTTTCTATACAAACAGCATATATCTTGCATATTGCTGTTAAATATTAAGCAGTGTTATATATTTTACAAAGCACTGATAAAGGACTTTGAAGAAGAAATTAAAATGATAATGATGTGCTGTTTACATTTTTCTTTTGATTTGCTGCATTTTTTAACATATGAAATAGAAACCAAATATTTGATGTGTGTTTGACTCTTTCACTTTTGAACTTTATTTTGTTTTTAATTCATAAGTAGCCCCTCATTTTCTGACCTAGCATTTTTGAAGAATTTAAGTTATGTTTTTCTAAACAGTCCTTTATCCAAGTTCACACCAAAAGCACTGTGGATTTGGGCTCCACCCTCTACCCCAGACAGTCCTGGGCATGAAAGAAAAGCAAATCTGTCTTTTAATAAGATGAAACGGAGTTGGATAAACATCAAATTAGAATTGCCTGACTCTTTCTGGAGCTGTAGATTCACATCTTGTCTAAATAACTGCTAGCGCTTCATCCATTTGAAATGGATATGTTGAGCAGTTTATACTTTGGGGATCTTTTGAATAAGACCTTAAAAGAATGACATTTCAGCTGTTATGCACAGCCAGCAAGGATTTGTGGTGTTTTGCCACAATTACCTGGCAAGATTGCCTTCTCTTCCTTGATGGCAGGGTGCACTGCTTGTCTGCAGGTGGCCCTCCTTGAGCAGGGGGGTTGGACCAGATGACCTCCAGAGGTCCCTTCCAGCCTCAGCCAGTCTATGATTCTGTGATTCGTACTTTCTGCTCCAAAAAAGCTTCCCTGTTACTGGGGCTGAGCTGGTAAGATCCTTGAAGGTATTTGGAGTGTCATTATTTTCTCTTTGTTGTATTATCAGTGATTATACATCTATTTGATATAAATTCAAAGCTTACTGAAGCCACTGAAACTTTTAGAGAGCGGGGGCACTGGATCACCTTGCCATGCAGAAGACAACTTGGAGTGAGAATGTGTTGTACATTGCTTAAACACAAAAACAAAATCAAGTGAAAGTTGTGCTTTTTTGCCCATTTTTTTATAAAATGTATAACTCGTCCCATGAAAGACAGACCAAGGGCAGTCTCCATTAGTTTGCATTAGCATTTCCCATTCAGCACTTCCCTTGAAACATACAGGTCAAAGGAGAATGAATATATGCATGACCTACATCCTTCAAAGATTATTTTCCTAGGGACAGAGGTCTGTCCTCTGATTGTCCTCTGAGGGAGTTTATTTCTCGCATCCACAGAATCGACGACTGTTTTTGTGCATCTCGGAAACTGGATGCGGTTGCCACTGAAGCGAAGTTCAAGCAGGACCTGGGTTTCCGGATGCTCAACTGTGGCCGAACGGATCTGGTTAAACAAGCCATATCCTTGCTGGGGCCGGATGGGATTAACAGCATGAGTGAACAGGTAACAAGATAGAAACGTAAAGAAGCAACTGTGAAATGTGTGAGTTTTGCCTGCTTATCACAGAAAATGAGCCCCAGCTTTCAGCTAAACATAGACAGGACCTTAATGCTTTCCCTGCATCACTTTGCATTGAGTTAAATCACCGCCAGGTGAACATCTATGTTAAGTTTGGTCTTCTTGAGTTGTATTGATTTGTTGGTACTGAGGTAACTCAGCATGAGGGTGAATGCATCCCCTTAAGTCTTCTTAACAGGGAACTGAGTCAGCTGAAGCGAGAAGGAGATCCCAAGAGAGCTTAGCATTGATCTGAATACTTAAAACTGCTTTCAGTGTCATAAACAGTGGTGTGGGGCAGGGTTTTCTGAGGTGAATGTCCTTCCACTGAACACGGTCTTGGAGTCTGCAATGCATGTCATGTGAACCACCAAACCCTGGCAGGAAATGGTTAATTGTTGTCAGTCTTTAATTGGGTTGAGCCCAGTTTGAACTGACTTCCCAGATGTGGAAGTCTCTGCAATGTTACCACTCTGTGAGTCGTTGTGGCCAACATCCACCAACTGAGGAGCCTAAATTTCCCTGGAGTTACATCTCCATGAGTCTGGTGGTTTTGTCTGGAGATAAACTTGCCTCCATGGCTGCCTACTGGCAGCAGTCTGTTAGACTGTGATGCTCACCGAGGTGCTTCCCACTTCCCAGTGGGAGATGACAGCCACGGATATTACCGTTTCCTTTTGAAACGGAGTCCCCTGAATTTTCTGGTGCCCCTGATGAAAGTGTCACTGCATGTTCCCAGGGCTGTGACATCCCCTTTGGCAAGAGGCAGGTGTCTGCCGCCCCTGAGGTGGTTGCCTGGGACAGGAGCTGGTTTGTAAGTGGATTTAGGTCCTCTGAGATGAAAGCCGCTCTAGGAATGCGAGTTATGTCGCTGTTCAGGAGCTTCAGTATGAGTCAATATTGTGGATTTGTTTGCGAAGGGCTTTAGAAGAGAGCAGTACTCCTCCCAGAAAAACTGTAATGGAGAGCTCATTCCAAGGTTCATACATGATACTTTAAAAAATTATTATTGTTTTAAGTTAGTCTGAGCCTGGAAGCTTTTCACAGCATATTTCCTCTGTCCTCCAGGCTGAAACCTGGGAACATTCTGGCTTGATTCATCAAAGTACCTAATCATATGCTTAACTCGGAACACATGCTTACATCCTGTTTGAGTGAAAGTTAAGCCTGTGCTTAAATGCTTCGCTGGATCAAACATCTCACGTCTCGTAGGATCCCACATCATGCAGGATAGAGCCCTAAGTGATACAAGGCTGAAAGAAAAAGAGCTATTCTTTTTGTTTTGCCAAAAGCCAAATGCTGTTTGCATTGACTGTACATGTTACCGTGTTCCTCTATGTGTGTTGAACACTAATGGTGGGCTCACTAAGAATTCTCTCCTCCCATGTGCAAAGGGAGGGGGCTGAGAGATGCTGCAGCACGAGGTTGGGGCACCATCAGAGGCAAAGGCAACAGGGACAGAAGTGCAAGTGGAGGGGAAGTTAGAAACCTCATTAACTCTTTAAAGCCCCAATACATGACATTCTGGGCCCCTTTTAGTCAGTGGTAAGTCCTTCACCTTCAGCAGGGCCAAAATATCCCGTGTGGTCCCCAGGCAGACCTTTTGCTCCGGGCGTTGCTGTGGGGTTCTTCACTGTGACTGCCCCCATGCTGTGTCTTGCAGTGGGGAGCCCCAGTATGGGGCTTTCAAATTCTTTTCTTCAGGTCTGATAAGACCCCTTGTGCTAAACACTTGATTTAATTATTGAATGATGCCACTTACAGGAATTGAAATAACAGTTGAAGGAATATGTATTTAATTTTAAGCTGCCACCCTGTCCCTGTGTTTCAAGGCCCAAACACAATTTTTGGTAATTCTTATGGTCCTGTTTGTTCCTGGAGTGTTTATTGACTGCCAAAGGAAATGTTTTGCCACTAGACTGTAGCTGAAGTAGTTTCAAATTCTCTTTGGAAGTAAATTCACGTCACCCAAGAACTCTCCTTGCCTGGAGTGAACTTTTTTTTTCTTACTAGTGGCATGCGGCCCCAAATGCCTATTCCTTTTCTGTGCATTTCCAGAAGTAAGCTGTGGATTTGGTCCTGTGAAATGCTCCATGTGTTTCGAGGGGGCTTTAAGTACCTTGAAGGAACAAACCTTAATTTATATTTTCTCTACAAGGGCAGCCCTTCCATAAATGAGCACCCAGTACCTTTAGCCCTGCATGCAAACAGGAAAAATAGGATAGTTCGGCAAAAATAGTGGTGCTGGCCTCTTGCTAGGAATACCAGTGTCATGGCTCTGTGTCTGGCCACGCTGGGCACCTCCCATTTCTCTGAAAATAATTTCACTTCATGGCAGCACTCAGGTTAAACAGCAAACAGGCTATTGTCTGACAGCAAATTTACCAGGAGACCTCGAGGTAGGCTATAAACATGCATCAGAAGTAGCTGCATGCTCCAGTAGATTTACTGCAAAACAACTGATAGCTGTTGATCAACACCCCCTACTGTATTTAATAAGCAGATTTTTCTGTTATAATTTACGATAGATTTAATGATTTTTTCATGGTTTCATCTGGACTCATTACCACAGCCACAGTAATACTTATCTTAAGGGAAATGGTGATCAGCCGCAGCAGGTATTTCAGATTAATACAAATTGCATGGTAGGGGTTCTGTAGTGAAGGGTCACTTAATCTACTTTTCCTCCAAACAGGGCCATGTTTTCCTATAGCCAGCAACTTGCAACAGTGCTGTCTGGCATTTCATTTAAAATTAAGTCCTTGTTTGCTAGGGAGTGCTATACAAAGCTTTTACATCTCCAACCCCTTATGGTATCTGCATTGGAAAAGCTGTGCCTGAATCTAACCTGTCTTAAGAGAAGCTTGGGATGTTTTTAAAGGCTCTTTTAGTACTTAAAACATTAGATTTTATGAAACTGCAATCATAGAGAACTGAATAGAATTACTGTCTTTTTAAAATACCAGTGGAAATATGGTTTGATTAAAAACATTTCTCTGCTGGGCCCCTGTGATTGTTTAACTTAGCTGGCAGCCAAGTTAAGAAACAGCCAGTGTCAAGACACAGCCACTTGCAGCCCCCCCAGATTCTTTGTCCCCTTCCCCGCCCCCCTCCCACCAGGGAATTGAGGAGAGAATTGGAGGGGTAAAGGTGAGGAGACTTGTAGGTTGAGATAAGAACAATTTAATAATTAGAGTAAAATAAAATTAAAATAATAAGAATAATAATGATAACAACTATATATATATCTGAGTGATGCAGAGTACAATTGCTCACCACCTGCTGATAATGATCCTGGAGGAGCATAAAGGAACCCCAAACCTGAAATCACAATCCTGGAAAAGCGAGCCCGAGCAATTCCCGAGAGGATCCCCCCTCCCCTTTCGGGTCAGTCCTGGATAATATACTAAACATGACGTAATATGATATGGAATATCGTATTGGCATATCCAACTGTCAATTCTGGGTTTTACTAACTGCTACACTTTTCTTCTCCACCCCCACCTTCCAGTCCTCTCTTCTTGGAAACTGCCCAAGCAGGTGTCCTTGTAGTTATCAACATTTCTTCTCATAACAATCCTCAATAAAACCAAAACACAGTGCTTTCTAGCTACTAAGAAGAAAATTAACCCTATCCTAGCAAAAACCAGGACAGCCCTAAAGACAAAGATGCTCAGTTTAGTATATGAAGATGAAAGTGAGGCTGACAAGCCTAGTTTCACTCAGGAGTTTGAGGGTGCTGAGGGTAACATGAAAAAAAAAAAGCAGTCAACACAAGTGACATAAAAAAAATGAGATTTTACAAAAATGGTTGACATTTGCTAGTCTGAGGGGCATGTCTGTAACAGAGGTAATGGCTTTTGTTAAATACATACTGTTAGTCTTGATGGTATATACTTAAATAATTGTTTAAAAAAGTCAAAGAGAGTTCTGTGTTAAATTTGTCAATTCCTTTGTTTTTTAACTCCAAAAAATGACTAGGGCATGACTCCACTGATGTATGCTTGTGTCAGGGGTGATGAGGCTATGGTGCAGATGCTGCTAGATGCTGGAGCAGATCTGAATGCTGAGGTGAGGACTTTTTGTTGGTTGTATCTTTGTTCTGTTATTTGTTTACATCTTAAACTACCGTTTAAAACTGTACTAATTAATCTGTAATTAAAAAGAGAGTAAGTTTGTCTTATCCTGTACGGCACCACTTGAAATAAATAGTGAAATCAAACTCCATTAGGTTAACATTGGAATTCACTGCACATAAGGCGTCATTGTACTTACCCCACAGGTAATACTGATTTAGTTGTGTTTGAACACTGCAAATTAATACAAGCATTAGCTCTAGCATGGAACACAGCTCTAATGATAGTGGAAGGACTCCCTGAATCTCAGCTGAGTTGAAATGAAGAGGGTAAAAGAAATGCCCATCTGATAACCTGACTAAGCTTGAGCATTTCTATGCATTGGGATGCTCCAGCTAAGCATCCCCAGCACACAAATGCAATGTAAGTTCCACTATTTTGTTTTACAAAGTGCCTTGGGCTAAAAACTGCTGGATGAGGAGCTTGAAGCTTCCAGAATATAAACATCTTTGCCAAATGCACATCACAAACTTAAACAATCTGTCCACCAAGTAGATGGTGGTCCGGCTGTGCAATGCAGGTATGTACATTTTTAAAAAGCCACTTGAAAATCCACAAAAGAATTATTTGTTAATGATTCCGGTTTCAATTTGTTGAGGTCATGAGTAAATTAAGCTGTCTGCTTCACTTATCTGTGTTCCATCTGTTCTGTTTGGACTTGAGCAAGCTGATAAATTGTAGTCACTACTTTCAGCCAGACATTTTGCACTTTTAAAAAATCTAATTTAAAAGTAGAAATGGATGTCACCTGTAAGAAACTGATAGTCGTTACTATCTGATTGCTGTTTGGTGGCTTATGTGAAATCAGCTGATAATTTCAGTTCCTCAAATTCAAGTACACCACCCTCAAGAGCTGTCAATAATTGAATACTCAAACCCTTGTTACTACTCTGGATAGACATACCAGAGACTGGATGGGCGTGGAGACTGATCTCTCCTTTATCCCTGCCTGTGGCTCAGAGGTGAGGTGGCATTATCTGGTTCCTAGGACAGGTTTTCATTAGGAGCAGTCCTCCCAGTTGCTCCAATAATCTTTCAGACTTGAACCAAATGCAAATTTAAACAGTTTCGTCTTCCTGAAACTGCTGACATCTGAGAGAACAGCTCCAGTGAGGGATGTGAACCTCCCTGATTCATTTCTGTACAGTGTTTGCTCTAAAATCAAATGAAAACACTTCGGGACAAGAACTGTGAATAATTATGGTGTGCAATTATAAGATGATTTGTGCTCACCACAACCAACTGTGCAAATTGGGCAATTACAGGAAAAAAAAAGGCAAATCAACCATGAACAAAAATAAATATTCTGTCAGGTGCCTGCATCATTTTCTCCCTTTCACTTTGCAAATCGGTTATATATATGTTTCCAAAAGTAGCCTCAAAAGCTGGGTGCCTCCCTTTTTGATTGCCCATCTTGAGTGAAAATAGTCTCATTTCCAGATATGCTGAGAAGCTGCAATTCGCTCTGGAGTCAGTGGGACCTGTATCTGCTCAGCAGATCTCAACTGAGGCCTTAAAAGCCTGGTCAGCCGCAGGTCTTCTGCAAACACTGTGTTGACTGGAAAGAACTCTAACCAAAAAAAAGGAGCAAAGGAGTTAAAATGACTTAATGTTCTTTGCCGCTTGCCGTGGGCTGCCCTGAACAGCGGTGGGAATTGGTGCTGGAGGAGGAGCTGGATGTGTTCACTGAAAAGTGACCCTGCTCATCCTCACTCTCCGCTGCTCTTGCTCCCCAGCCTGAACCCCAAGGCTCAATTCGCTTAATCTTCTTCCTTCTGAGCAGTCCCAGACCCAAAGAAGCCCCATGTCTGTGCTCAGACACTGGCATACTTCTCCTGTTGGCACTTTGAGCTCTCTTTTTGGCAAATCTGGGTGATAAGAGCCAGGTGCTGGTGCAGATCTGCTCCTCTGGCAAGCCACAAGATCTGCCTGGGCTCTTCAGATTTTGCCCTCATCCCTGTCCTTGGGACTGAGAGCCTGGTCGGGTGCTTCTGGCAAAACGCTGCATGTGGCGCTTGGAAATGCGAGCTGCTAATGTAACCGAGCATTTAATGACTAGCCCTGCTCCCCTACATGGATAAAAGTACTTCAGACAAGGTAGCAAAAGCATGGCTGGCTGATGAGACAGAGAGATGGTGCATCTTTTACTCTGATTTTAGTCCTTCTCTGAAGATCAATAATAAGATTTTGAATTTTAGTGTCACGCTCCATCTGAGTGTGCAGTCTTAGATTGCAAACGTTCATTAGATTTTACCATCTCTGTGAACCTCATCAATATTAATACCTCCATCTTTAAGACAGGGAAGCTGAAGCAAAGAGTGGTTATTCATCTTCCCCAATGTCTACATTAGAGGCACCAGGCACTAAGGCATAGAAAATGGAAGGAGCAATGTGAAAAGTACCATTTTGTTTCTAAGGATATAGTTTGCATCTCTTTTAACTGTCACCACCTTGCTCTTTTAACTCAACTCAGACAGGAGACGGTGGTAAAAGGAGTTTTCTTAAAACATCTCTGCAATGCTGCTCTGCCCCATCACTTCTCAGCTGTCTTTTTTCCTCCCATGGGAGAGGAAGAGCCTGGAAGCATATCTGTGAACTTTAGCATAGGGCTTGTGATGTGTCTTTCATGATGACAGTGACAAAAGCCGTACTGGTTTATACGGAAGGAATTTCTTTGGGCCTGGAGCAATCCCAAGACTCGGTGCTGTTGATACACAGTCTGGAGAAGTCAATGGGAGCAGTCCTGATCTGTCCCTGCTTCCCCAGTGTGTGCTGCTGTAACCAGCTGTGGATGTTTTGACCTTGTGCAAAAGTATCTGATGGCCAGTGGTTTAGATGGAGCTACAGTAGTTGGTAAAAAGACTTCATTTGGTATGAACTCTATTCAAGCTGTCAAATCAGCACCAACAGTTTTAATATTGAGAAAATTTTTGCAGGAAAAAGAAAATGAAACCAATCATTTTATAAAGCACCTTTCCCAGGTTTTCTATTTTATTTACTCCCTCACATGCCTGGCTTTCAGGCAGGTTGAATTTTACTACGTATAGCTCTTTAAAAAAATAACTTTAATTTGTTTGTAGGTTGTCAGTACTGCTCATAAATACCCATCCGTCCACCCTGAGACCCGCCATTGGACAGCTCTGACATTTGCTGTGTTGCATGGACATATTCCTGTAGTTCAGGTATTATTGTATTTCCCTACCTGCATCTCATTCTTTTGTTTCTCCTCTTCAGTTCTAATTACATCCATCTCAAACCAGTATCCTCTTGTCATACTCATATTGGTTACTTCTGCTTCTTCTAGAGTGTGCTGATATATAATAGACCTATTATATAACTAATACAGTGTTCAAACCTTAACCAATATGAGGTTTAAGTAGAACAATTTTAAAGCAAAGTTGCACCAAAGAAAGTCTGACAACTCCTTGTGCTCCTTCCTGACCACTTGTTTTATATGTTTGTTTATTCATTCATTACACTTCCTTACACTATTATATTCTAGCAAACACAAAACCACTGCCTTGGTGAGGGAGAGGTGGACAACAGCCCTTGTGCTGCTCCAGAGGGGGAGAAGCACTCGGTCTCCTTTACCCCCGCGAGGCGTCGCGTGGGCTATGCTGGTTCTGTGCTTTGGCATCTCAAAAATTGAGAAGGTTTATTCTTCAAAACAGCTGTGTCAATGGTACACTTAACGAAGCACCAAAACTGTGAAGGCCCCAAGACAGAAATGGCCAAGAGGGGGCTCGAATGCAGGCTCCATCCTGCTCTCCTTGGCCACTTTTGTTGTCAGCGTTGTTGTTACTTACGTGGAAGTGTCCCTGATGGAGATCACAGCTTTTGGACTGCGATTGGTTCTTAAGAATTGCCTTTCTTTTGGCCATGTCTTTATATAAAAGATGGAGGTAATTGGAATCTGATCTACTTTACGATGGTCCTGGGCTCCTAGAAGACTGTGAAGGAAGGATGCTTGTTGGGCTAATTTTCAGTACTTTCATCTTCAGTGCATTACTTCCTAACACTGACCTTACCCCATTTCTCATTCAGAAACACTGGGCTACACTTTTTTGGCTCTGAAGTTGGACACTAGTGCTCCTGGTGTCTGGCAGTGTAAGATGAGCGAAAAAAGGAATCATTTTGCCTCTGAAACAATGGGCAGAATTTGCATGTCTCTTGTTTCTGTTGTATCTTGTTTGCAGCTAACAAGAAGCATTAGACTCTCATTCGTCACTGTTCATGAACTCTGAAGGCTGTAATATCTCCGGTTGCTTTAAATGGTGAATTTTCTTTCTAGCTGTTGCTGGATGCTGGAGCAAAGGTAGAAGGTTCCTTGGAGCATGGAGAGGAAAATTACTCTGAAACTCCTTTACAGTTGGCAGCAGCTGCTGGTAAGGACTTTCTCCTCCCACTGTAACAAATGCTTCAATTGGGATCTGTGGTTTAGGTGAGCAAATACTGGATTTTAAAAGAAGTAAAAATGCTTCTCTTGACTTGCAGGAAATTTTGAACTGGTCAGTTTGCTGTTAGAGCGAGGAGCTGATCCCATGATAGGAACAATGTACAGGAATGGCATTTCCATGACTCCACAAGGTGACATGAACTCTTTCAGTCAGGCTGCTGCACATGGACACAGGTAGAGTGGGAACAAGTCTAGTGGCATCCTTCAAGCGCTTATTTTTTTGCCTGGGCATCCGGTTTGAGCAGATGAGTGAAAGTTGTGCATGAACAATTGAACATGCCACCAACTGAGCAGAGATGTAATGCTTTTTGCTAGCATGTGAATTTAACCAGTTGGTGGTACAAGCTGCTTTATAGCTGAGGGAAAAAAAAAAAAGGAAGGGAGCTCCTCGTGGTGTGTTGCAATGTGATGTTTGTTAAATGGTAGCTGATGTGACGGCAGAAAGGAATGCCAAGGACATTCCTTCTGAATATCTTGTTGACATATTTCTCAGGTTTGGGGCAGATTGTGTCTGTACTGCTGCAGCATTAACTCTGCATCTGTGTTTACTGTACAGTCCTGTGTGCCTTAATGTTGTATGTATGCTGCAAATTTTTTTTTAAAAAAAAAAAAGGTAATGAAATGAGCACCTGGCATGCATGATCTTGCAACGCTGAGGAGTTGACTACAGTGTAATGAATTAGTATTATAATCTTCACATTCCTACTTTTCTGATTGTAGCCATCCAGAGGAACATAGATACAGGTTAGAGACAGTACCTACCGTCTGTTTGCTTAGAGACAAGCTGCCAGTCTAAGAACATGCTAATGGCATGTCAGTGCAGGTTCACAAAACACAGCCTGTCTGGAGCTTGTGAGGGATCCCTGGGACAGAGAGGACAGTTTGGTTATTGGAATCTCACGTTCACTGCTCTGGCCTTGCTACCAGCCAGCATGAGCAGGTACCGCGTGCCAGAGGAGGACCTGGGGCTCTCCCCGGCTTGGCTGCTGGCTGTGTGTGTCACAGGTTCTGGCTCTTATGTTCCTACCTGTACACTGCTCACACACACTCCCTCCTCCTTCCCTCTCTGCCCCAGATTTGTTTGGGACATGCCATGCCCCACTGCCACCCCACACCAGGGTCTGAGCAGATACAGGGAGGACATCAGAGTACAAGGGAGGTGGGATGGGAGCCAGCCTGGTTTCTCTTCTCCCAGCTGTAGAAACCGAGGGTGACTCTGTTGAGATCAATGAGGTTATGCTGGTACAAACCTGAGGACACCAAGTCTCTGAGTTTGGGCTTTGCTATTTGATGGCCCAGCTGTATCGGTGGCTTTGCAGAGTAGTCACAGATGTGCTCGAACCTGCCCTGACTGGCCTTGTTAAATGTCTAGCTGCTCCAGCTTTCCCAGACTGCTTTGAGTGTTAATCGAGTGGTGTTGCTTTCAGTAGCTCCAGGCAGCTCTCTTCTCAAGTGGACTCTATGGTGAAAGTCCTGAGAGCTTGTCCAGAGGCACCTCAGCCTTCCCTGATTGTGGGAAGAAGTTTTGAGTCACGTTTAGCTCATGAGTCTCTGTTCCCATGAGATGCCCCCACACCTGCGACATCTGTATGGTTCCTGTCATGACAGCAGCGTCTTGATGTGGCCCAGGCAGTGCAGGTGGGCTAGCAGGAGTGGTGACTGCCTCAGGTCTGCTCTCAGCTGGTCTGGCCATTTATTGGAGTAATTTCCTGGATAGGTGTCCTAACTTGCCATGTCACAGCAAGTGTCCAGGCACAACAAAAGCCTAGCTACTGATTCTGCTCTCCCTCCCTCTCTTCCCCTCTCTCCCTCTCTCTGTTGTGGTGTGATTGACAGGAACGTCTTTCGTAAGCTGCTTGCTCAGCCGGAGAAGGAGAAGAGTGATATTCTGTCGCTAGAGGAGATCCTGGCGGAGGGGACAGACTTGCCTGACTCGGCGGCAGCTCCACTCTGTGCCAGCCGCAACAGCAAGGCCAAGCTGAAAGCCCTGAAGGAGGCCATGTACCACAGCGCTGAGCACGGCTACGTGGATGTGACCATTGACATACGGAGCATAGGTCAGTCCTGGTGCCCTCTGCTCTCCCTCAGGGGAGGGACCGCTCTAAGAAACGCCTCTCGATGGGCTGTTGCTTAAATCGATCGCAGTTGCATCTTCATTAACTCCTGTGGAAGCAGAAGGTGATGGGGGATCTGGCAAGTTCCCAGCCCATTTTTGGCTCCACAGCATACCCCACTCAGGGGTCATTGTCACTTTTCTGCAGAACGGAGTGGTTTCCGCCAGCAGCCATCTTCACTGCTGCCTGGCAGAGTGTTAGCTAAAGCTCTGAGGCAGTCTTCAGCTCCCGCAGGCCACCTCCAACAGCTCCTCTGCATAAAGCACTCCGCCATTAAAACATACTTATTTTCTGAGGTTTATGAGCCTCAGAGAGCAGGAGCAGGGAACTGGCTTTTTGGTGTGCTATCTGTGCCAGCATGGTGCTTGAACATCATACCAGCCTGTTGGGAAATCACTTCTACCCATTCTGAGGATGGCTGGGTAGCAGGGAGCGAAGTTGGGGGAGGAATTGGTATGGACTGTTTGTTTACCACCCCCACTAATCTGCCCTCAGAGACATGGGTGCCCAGCATACCTCTGCCTGGTACACCACCACTCCAGCCCTGGAAACATACAGCAAGGGTCAGGGCATGCAGTCCTCTGAGTGGTAGCTCACTGGGTGGGCTGAGCAGGCAAAGTACTGGGTGATGAGGGAGAGGAGAACGATGGGGCTGCTCTCCAGGCACTGGACATTTACTGAATTGGAAGGAAAAACCTTTTGTAGCCAAACAGCAGATATGCATTTCCTCCCACTCTGTTCCACAAGAGCAGAAACTAGGTCACTCTCAGCCTAGTGCCTGCAGAGGTCCATTAGCTCTGTGCGCTTTCTTTCTTGCTCAGTGCATGGGAGCAGTTCCCTTTAAGTTCCTGGAGAGTGGTTCTGCCACGACAAACTACTCGAAAAGGCTGATCTGCTTAACTTGCCCAGTGCTGTTTAGGGAAAATAGTAATGATCAGGAAAGGACATGGGGTAGCACTTAAAGAAAGTTTTAATCTGAAGACCACCAGTTTGAATCCAGTTGGCTAGTGACCAAAATTGGTTTTTTTGCCATTTAATGGCTCTCCAGGGCCACATTCAAACAAATGAGCTAGTGTAAATCTGGTTTCCAAAAGGCTTTTGCATCACAGAGCACCACAGCAATTACCACAAATTGGCAGTCTCAGCAGAGAAGCTGAAGGCTAGATGAGCAGAGAGAGAGACCACAGCCTTCTCTTAGCACTTGGAGGAGAGCCTCTGTGCGTTAGGTCTGGGACATCCTGATAAAAACCAGCCTTCTCAATTGGGGATAAATAGGAATTTGATTTCTAGGGTTATTTGACCGCTTTTACTTAAAATGTTAAGATTAACATAACTAAAGGTAAAAAAGCAGAAGGGCACATCCTTCTCTGAAGCTGGAAATGAGCTCTGTCCTCTGTCCATAGGTGTTCCTTGGACGCTGCACACGTGGCTGGAGTCCTTGCGCACATCCTTCCAGCAGCACCGACGACCCCTTATCCAGTGCTTGCTAAAGGAATTCAAGTCCATTCAGGAAGAAGAGTACACAGAGGAGCTCATCACACAAGGGTTGCCTCTGATGTTTGAGATACTGAAAGCCAGCAAGGTAGGATAAATTATGTGTTTTAAAGGAATCAGTCTCGTTCCCTTCCCATAAGACACAAAGATTGCAATATTGTTTTTGCACAACTGTCCCAAAGCTTGTTTAGACTGTACAAGATTATTATTATTTGTATTATGTATCTCAGGCTTTTTTCACTGTGAAAGCATGGGTTAAAAACACATAAGCTAATCACATCTCCTGCTAGAACAGTTTAATACTGATGCTAACAATAAGCTGGAGAGACAACAGAAGCTGATGCATCATGGTGAAATTAAAGTCAAAAGGATCACTGCAGTATGGCAAGAAATGTTAATAACCAAACCAACCCAGAGAGTAACTACCCAGCTTGTTTTACAGGACCGAACAACAAAGCTAATATTCATGTTTGCTTTTGATTTCTTTAACCTCTCACATAACTTTGTCTTCCCTTCATGTGGGATTTGGGCTCTTAAACTTGTGGGAAGACTGGTTTCTACAAGCATGCAACAGGATAATTTTTTTAACTCTTCTGTGTGAATGTTTGTACTTGCAGCCTCCTCAGATTTATTCTTTCAGCTGACATTTTTTTAGCCAGACAAATCAGAGTAACAAAACCTTTTGAGGGAGGTACTGTTGGATATGCAAGTATAATAGCAAAGGGGATGATCATGGGGCAGGCAAGGAGAGGAAAATGTCTTACCTAGTGAAGGCTGGATACTTCCTTTTAAAACTTGGTATAACCAACAGTCTCTTCTCTACTGGTCACCCTGACAGTCAGTCACTCCCAAGGAATGCCCAGTCAACTTTACTGTTACCAGAAAATCATTTTAGTGATGAAAAGCATCAAAAGAATTTGATTGCTCTTCTTTTTCTCATGCAACACAATATATGTTAGTATTGTCTTGTAAGTGTTTAATTGGGAAGTGAGTAACATTTCTAACCCAACTCTACATGTAATGGCAAGGAGAAAATAGTTTTTAGCGCCTGCAGCAATAGCCTAAATAATGAGAAAAGGGAAGAGGTTCTGGGGCTCAAAACTAAAAGGTTCCAGATTTAGTATAGCTAGGGAAAGCCTACATGGATTTACTTCTTATATCCTGCTGCAAAAGAGGGCTTGGACCACAGTCCCGAGCAAATTGTGAACATTTGTTCCGGCAATTGTTTTGATTTTTGATCCCATGAGCCTTCCCTTTGGAATTAGTTTGTATTGGATGGGTATTTCTGAAGAATATTTGAGGTAGCTTTTAGGAAATAATTCCATGTCCTAGGATTTGTAGATTCCTTGTTCTGAACTCACTTGCATTTATGTATGTCATCCAGAAGCTACCAGCAATGTGCTGTTTGGTTTGGAAGCTGCTATGAAACTAATCGTATTGAAAACTTAATGGAGATTAAGTTTTAGGCCTTGTAATCTAGGATGAGGGATGGCTTTAATTGCCCTTCTCCTGGGTGGCTGAAGGCAAAGCCAATGATCATTGTTAGAATAAGTTATTTACGTAGGATTATACCTTTGTGGCATGGTAGACTGTGTCTTCCAGAGTCTTTTGTAGGAGACATGGAAACAAATAAAACTGGTACCTTCTGCTTTGGGTTCTCTTAAAACCTAAAATGTGGAGGAATGAAACAACTGAAATACCACAAAAAACCCTACACAACAAAGAAGAAATCTGTGCTGATCTTTATTCCTGCCTCTGGGCCCAGGGGAGCTGCCTGTCTTCACTCTTTATGAGCATGCTTATTCACACACACACACACACACACACACACACACACACAGCTTCATATTCTCAGAAAAATAATGAATCATTCTAGGACATGGTAAGGTTTACAGATTGTCTGCAAATGGCATGAATTATTGTGGCAATCTTGTCCAAACGGCCTCTTACAAAGTTCTCCCAGACAGAAATGAGGACAGACTCTATGCAATCCTTTGGAAGGAATCAAAATAAATTCATCGTAGGAGAATGAGCCAATAGAAGTTCTCCCTGGTCACTCTGTAGAAGGCAGCTGAGGAAAGCTGAGATTCAAAGGGTCTTCTGTTCCCCTTCTCAGGAAAGGCTGAGAGCAGAGACGGTTCTTTATGTATACCCACAGAATGGAATCTCCTTTAAGAGGTGCAGAAGGACCGTAACTGTCGCTCACATCCCTCTTTCCGACAGCAAATTGTAAAGCTCTGCATTTTGTAGAGCTGTGGGGAGAGGAGTTTGATTTGCTCACATGGACATCCTTTTCCCTGTGGGCTGGGAACTTCGAGAGAGATTACGACTCCTGCTAAACATCACAATCTGGCCCAGTACATTTCTTTAATGAGTTTTGCAGGGCAAAAAGAATAAAATAAGCAACTAGGAAACACAGAGCCACTTAACATTTCTTGAGTGATGTAAAACAAGATGTCCCATTTGCTACATATTGTGAAGCTCAGTATATTTTAATTGCATGGCAACTTGGACCTAATAGAAATGGCATTTTGCATTCCTATAAAGAGTTCCAACTACCCCGTAATCTCAGAACAATTTACAAATACTAATGAGTTGAGACATGGAAGAAGATCTTATCCTCCCTTTAGGGACAGGGAAACTGAGGTAATTAAACAGGCAGATTTTCAGTGCTTTGTAGAGTGACAGTCTCAGCCTCAGAAGCTGTGACAACCTGGATAAGCCAGATAGCAATTTATAATTTCAGTAATTTCGCCAGAGAGACTCTCCAAAAACCGCTTAAAAACAAAGGGCAGGTCTCAGAGGAGGAAGCACGCCTTCTGTCCCCACCTTCTACTTTGCAGTGTTGGACAAAATGTTCTCAGAGGTTCCCAGGCCATGCAAAAAGGCCAGATACTACAAAACTGAAAAGATGAAAGAAAAAATAGCTAATACCTACAAGAATACCATCAGATATATGGAATCCCTTTTGTCTTACAGGCATTTTTTAAAATGCTTGTTCCTAGAGGGTCCAGATGTTCCAGATATGAGGGTTTATGTGGGAGCTCTGCCACCAGCCAGCACTGATGCTGGTGTCCTGCAGGGTGGCAGTCAGCTCCCATTTATGTGCTGGGACACTGACAATAGAAATAAAAATAAAAATGAAATTTGCAGAAGTCCCAATGCTGTAAGACAGAATGGCAACAAAAAATGGCAAAACTGTCTGAGCTGGAGTCCCTGGTTTTATTGCCTCTCTTCAAGCTGTGAAATAAGCAGGGGAGAAGAGTGAATAGATGGCACATCAGTTTTTCTCTTCTGTAGTAAAGCCCTGGAGGAAGACTTCCAAAAGCACAAATGAAGGTTTGGTACCCAGCTCCTGGTGGCTTCCAGTGGGACAGAGTTCTTTCATTTCCTTTCATGCCTTTAAACATCTTTATCAGCTGCACTGTTGAGAATTGGATGGGGAGCAGAGAAGCAGCAGTATTTCCACGCTGGCAAGGCAGAGCTGCAAGAACAGGCAGAGAATTGCTCTGCGCTCACTCCCCCCACGGTTCCTGCCATTGTACAGTAAGCTTGGGTCATTACCAAACCAAAGACCAGAGACGAGGCAATCTGGAGAAAGCAACATCAGTGGAAAGGACACAGAGAGCTTGTTTTATGGCACTTTCCTAAGAGCAAGCAAAACTCAAACCCTAAGAGCTCTGACACTAAAACTGTCAGTAATTTGATGGTGGTGGATTTGGGCCACCAGATGAGGAGGAAAGGCGCTGCCATTTTGGGATGGCTTGAATCTGTTTAGCAGACAAGCACACAAGCATAGCCTGCTAGAAGTGGTTTGGACAGGGCTGTGCGAGATGAAAGCCAGAGAGACACTTCTGCTGCATAGAGCAGATTTGAGTCCCTCAAAGCTAAGATGACACTGGAGATCTTGTTAGAGAAGAAGGATAAGAAGTTGCAGCCAAAATCCTGCCTGTTGGTATCTGTGTTGTGCTCTTTGTGGCCTGGAAAAAAACCCCAACTTCTCACTGGAAGCTCTCCTTTACCTCCAGCTGAGGTTGGCGTGTGCTTTGCCTGAGCCTGGCTCTGAGCTGGATTGCCCCGCTGCCCCGTGTCAGAGGACCATATTTGTCCGAGGAGTGGATGTGCTTGAGGGCTGTCTACGACTTGGAGACTGGGCCCCCCCAAACAGAGACTTTTAAAAGAGCTGTGTGGAGGCTGCACCCGGATGTGCGGGCTTGTAGTGCCCAAGGTGGGGCTCACAGGTCAGCTCTTCTGTTTTTGCAGGGAGGTTCTCTTGAGGATAACATGCTGAATGTGCAGGATGCTTCTTTGTCCCCTGTCTACGAAAATCCTAGAGCTGTTTCAGTTTGATCTTGACATTTCCAAAACCTGAAGAGAGAGAGACTGAAAACCACAACCTTGGAAGTTAAACGCATCTGGCCTTTGGAGGAGATTGGTTTTAGATTTCCACTCTGGAGATCAGTGTGAGCTTGAATTGTCATTAAAATCACGCAGCTCCATCCATGCAGATGAGCCAGCACTGTTGCCGTTAGTAGGAGGCTATGAGCCAGTTCCATCCACTGCTTTTTCTATGTACGTAAATTTAGATCAGATTGTCCTTGGCCTAGTTTTCTGAGAAAAAATACAATTTATTAATTCCAAATAATCTCTCTTACAACTTTCTCCCTTCCCCCCATAGTCTGGGTGAGGAGCTGCTATCTGCTGTTACCTTGGAGGCTTTGTGGGCACACATCACTGAAGTGTCTGTGTCAGTCCCCATGTGCGTTGAGCGCACGTGCTGAAGCGTTGTCTGAAGCTCCGTCTGGCACTGCAGGTGCTTCACACCAGGAAAACTTGGCTAAGGACTATGAGTATTCCTGGTAGTGTATTGTCCAAGACAAAATCAACTTGAAAAGTTGTGGGAGGGGTCCTTCATTGCCCTTCCTCAGCTGTGTTCTGCAGCTTTCTCTTCATCCTTTCCGTCAGTAACAAGGTAGTTTATTTTAAAATTCAGCCTGTTAATGTGGTATTGATCACAGTGTGCACTCGGGCTTTTTGAAAGATGCAGGAAACTACTTTGCAAGGATGTTTCTCTGGAATTTAAAATTC